CATGAAAAGAAATCCAACAGAAAAGAAAGAAAACATCAGAATTCATCCACTGAAATAAGAATGTGCTATGAAAGCTCCGTTGCAACTGTAAGTAAGCCTACACACACATACGCTAGGTCACTGTGTGTGACAGTGTACACTGGGGTGGGTCATGGTCAAAAGTTTGAAATCACTGATATATTAGAATCCTTGCGCTATATGAAGCCACAGAAGGTAATCCTCAACTGTTTTCAGTTATTGAAGTATGACAACTATATAGTTAAGTATAAACAAATCCCATGGATATTCATACAAAGGAGATAGTACATCTGTTTTAGAGGTCAGGGAAAGTGGTTGAGATGAGTTTTGGAAGATGAGTGGAGCTTTGAGAAGTAATGGAGGAGGCGGGGCTCCAGGCAGGACACGCAAACCGTCTACCGGGAATATTGAGCAATCTGGGCTACAGCTCAGGATATTTATGAATAGGGATTGAAGTAAGATTAGGCTGTTAGTTGAAATCACATTGAGAAACTCAGACCAGTGAGACTGTACTGAATTTGATAAAGTCAGGGTAAGAGGAGAAGGTAAGATACGGGAACTCATTGGTTAGTTTCTCATGGGAGAGAGGTATGGGCAACTTTAGTCAGTCCATGAAGTAAGAGGACCTAAGGAAGATGCTTTCAGTGGGAAAGGAAAAAGGCCCCTCAGGGTATCTAGAGGTGAAGAATGAGCAATGAAAGCTTTAAAACTACACACTAGAGAGGCTGAGACTATCTAAATCTACTCTTCGTACCTGCTTGGGGTAAGGGCTGGGCCCGGGAGTACAGAAAGATGAGGTGAAGCAAAGGAATGAAATGTGCTTTGAAAGAGCATTATTACTAATTGTTATGCAATGAAGATTTCAGAAAGTATCTCTCTGTTTATTTCCCTTGGGGATGGGGGTTCTCCCCTTTCCCCAGTTTAAAAGTGACACATCTTCATCTCCAAGATCCTTTCTAGTTCTAACCTTTTTTGCGTGCCTTTATTTAATGGACGTGTAAACTAAGGCTAGGAGAGGTGGTGGCACATCAAAGAGAGATAGAGAGTTGAAACTATTACATGTCAAACCTTCTAATTTGGGGGTAGTGTACATCCTGTTGTATCATGTACATTTTACAAATGTTAACCATTTAGGAGAGGTGAGAAAGATGAAAACGCTTACTAGTTAGAGCCGGATATTCACTCCCTGTAGTGCTGCTTTCTCTCTGTCCTATATTGCAGGAAAGATGAATCTGTGAAAGGCAGATCTTCTGCCAGAGTCCCTTATTGCGCTCAATATTATTTTGAAACTCCAAATCATGACCATATCCAAGTATAGGAATACAGGACCTCAAAAGGATAACATATTGGCACAGTGTATATAAGCCATGTTTCTGGAGGTCTCCTGTTGTCAGCCCCGAGTCACATACATATTTCAGGCTTTAAAACTGAGATATGTAAAGGATCTGTTTAGAATAGCCTCATGGTCTATTAAAGTCATGAGCTTCTTTCATTCATATTAATTTACCTAATTCCTCCTATCTTTCACCAATACACATTTCTCATAAACTTTGAGGACACTTTATGAAAATCAAAGACCATTTGTCTCCAGTATGTTTTCATAGTTATAATTTTAAAGAACAATTTCTTAAGAGATGCTTGAGGAGTTAGATTCCTGAACCTATTATCTTCATGGTCTTCCCTCTGGTAAGACAGATAAATTATCTTGAGGGTTGCACTGAATTGTCTAGTTACAATAGAAAAGATAAACATTCCCCTTACAGTCTGCTCCTGTAGACGTAGACTTCAAATAGGTCTGAAGTTTAGGCATGCCAGGGAAGGCGTGCCTGGCGGTGATTATGGAGAAAAGACTAATTCTTACAGGACATACTGAGGAATGGGCGAGTTCTGGTCACTGTGTCTCCTGAGCCTGCAAAGCATTTGGGAGGGGAGGGCAGTGGAAGGGTTAACAAATCTTTCCTGAGACCGGAAAGAGACCCTCCTAAATACTGAATGAGAATCAATCTTTGTCAGGGGTATCACTGAGAGCTGATCAGGGAGCCCACCTTTCCTACGGTGAGTGCTGCTAATTTCCACTCTGTGTGGCTGTCTCTGTTTCAAAAACTGGAGTGTTCACCCACCAATTGTGATCTGGTCAGTTACATATACTATGGCCCTGTAGGGCAGCCAGTGACAACTGATCATAGCACAGCAAATGACAGGATGAATATGGGTGCTCTGAGCAACCAGAAGCGGGGTAAAGGAAGGCTTAGCACAAGACATAAAGACATATCACTTTGACTGCAGAGCTAAGTATCAGGATGATGCTGTGAGCTGGGATTTTTCTAGGTGGAGAAACAGTATGCATATGCTTTTGGGGGGAACAGGAGAGGAATTTAGGCAAAAAGTGCTTAAATCACAGCAGTAGGCAAATGCACAGGTGCATCGAGGAACTGGCAAAGAGAATCAGAATTCACGAGACACTAGGGTAGGGTCTCTGAAG